AATGTATTTATTGACCATAAACATCCAGCTTATGACACTAAGTTTCCATTGCCTGGTGTTTTAATTTTCAAACCTCAAGAGTCTTTAATCTTTCCTAATATTGATTACTTTAAAACTTGTATTTTAGATTTAGTCCTAGAAGCTACTAAAAGTGGTGCTCCACCTACAAAATCCGAAAATAAATTATGGTGTGAAGATTTGGAACAAAGAGGGCATAAGCTTCGTAAATTACGTGAAGAAAAGACTGGAATTGCTGCTCCAAGTGTTGATTCTTTGCCTTTACTTAAAGCAATCATTTTGGACTTTGGCTCTGTTAATCTCATCGATTCTTCTGGACTAGAAGGTTTATTCGATATCAGAGATACCTTGTCCAAATACGCCGGGGTAGAAGCACTCAACAAATCATCTCTAGAAAATAATAAAGAGCCCGAAAAACTGGACTCTATAGAAGAAATCAATGAAGAGTTTATAGAAAGCCCAAACAATCAATTAAATGATGCTTTTTTTGAAATTCACTTTGTATCCACTCATCCTCAAGTACTTAAAGTGTTAGAATTATCTGGAATTACTACTCCAGTTGCCCCAATCATCCTTCCTTCTGTAGTAAAGCATTTAACCGCAAATACTATGTCGGTTCAAGACAGTGTAATGACTACATCTAGTCTTGCAGCAGGTATTGAACCGATTGTAAGTAACGCTTCTTTATTTGTACATCTTACAGTAGGCGATGCCGTTAAAAGAGTGCGTAAAAGGATGGTAAAAATCAAATAAATTAACTTAATATTAGACGACTATGTCAAATAGATCATTCATTTAGTTAGAATTTTAAAATAAAGTTAGGTCTTGCACTTAGCATGTTGAAAATTGAAACCAATTTCAATATAATATACAATGCTAAAAGGCATGTTATTAGTACGTTATAAAATAAAAAAGTAATCAAGTTATTTGTTTTTTCGAATTTAGATTCATCCTATTTTTGTCTACACCATTAAATCTCATTATTTTTGTCATATTTTATTCTAGACATTAAATCTTAAATTTCGTTTTCAAATTCAAATCATCACTTTTTAAAATTCAATTTCAAAAAATGAATCGAACGATGATATTAAATATAAGAAATCTAAAGTATAGAACTTTAGGCAGCTCAAAATATATAACAAATTTATTGTATAAAGGTAATTCAATTGAATATGCTTCAGTGAACGAAAAGAAGGGATTATCGAATACCAACTATTTAAAAAGAACATATACAAGTAAAGTGGTAATTGACAACGAGATTATGAATAATGATGAGAAGGATGTAGTAATTGTTGGAGGTGGTGCCGCAGGGTTGGCATTAGCATGCGGTTTAGGTAATCAAGTTATCAAGCAACTATCTTTTTATTAATTTTTAGCCCATGACCTATTAACCAAAGGGCCACTTTCATATACCCCAAAGCTCGCTTTAGTTGAAAAGTTTAAGTTACCAAAGGTAAGAGATCCAAGTGCAGAACCCTTACCATTTTCAAATCGAGTTGTTTCATTGACACCATCTAGTAAGCAATTTCTAGAGTCCATTGATGTTTGGGAAAAGATAGATCTTTCTAGAGTAAGACCTTATAAGAATATTAAAGTTTGGGATGCTATTGGTAAAGGAGAGTTAGAGTTTGAAACAGATCAAGACTCAACAATGGCCTATATGATTGAATTAAACAATCTTACTTCTGCTTTAATGTCAAAGATTAATGAGGCTATTGAATCTGGAATAAACATTGAGTTACTCGAAGGTTGTAACTTGGATGAAATACAAAAGGCTGATTTAAATGAGAACTTAGATTGGCCTAAACTAAGTTTACAAAATGGAACTAGAAATATTAGAAGTAGATTATTAGTCGGGGCTGATGGAGCTAACTCTAAAGTAAGATTATTTGCTGATATTGAGTCTTTTGGTTGGGATTATTCGCAAAGAGGAGTGGTTGCCACTGTTGTATTTGATCCACCGTTAAAAGAAGAAGATCCTTTCGTTGGATACCAAAGATTTTTACCAACCGGACCAATAGCCTTATTACCCTTAGATAAACAGCACTCTAATTTGGTTTGGTCCATGACCCCAAAGATGGCAGAAAATATAAAATTATTAAGTTCAAATATGGTATCCAAGTTAATAAAAGCCGCTTTTTCTGCAGAAGAAGGTGATCTTCAATATATTATAAACCAATTAGAAAATGGAACAATAGAAGTCTGTGATTTAGAATTAGATTGGAGACCAAAGTTTACTTCACCAGCTTCATCAAACTCTTTCCCATCAATTAGCAACATTGTAGATAACACAGTGGCTTCTTTCCCATTGAAGTTACGCCACGTATCTAGATATGTTATTCCCCGTATTACACTCATTGGGTAACTTTAGCTTTTTATTTAATAAAAATAACTAATTTGTTCTTTTTTAAGGGATGCTGCTCACTCGATGCATCCACTTGCTGGACAAGGCTTAAACCTTGGTTTAGGAGACGTTGAAAGTCTTACCAAACAACTAACTAGAGGTTGGAGAGGAGGTGTTGATCTTGGTGATGCTAATTTACTTCAAGGTTATCCTTCAGAACGCTATTTCCATAACTCAGCCATGTTAGGGGCAACTGATAAATTGTATCGTTTATTCAGGGCTACAGATCCCGTAACTACTACTATTAGATCATTTGGCTTTAATTTGATAAATTATGGACTTCCTAACTTTGTCAAACAGGCTATCGTTAAAGCTGCTTCTGGAACTGGAGTTTAACTTTGTTTATAAAAGTTTTAAATTTTAGATTATGATTTAAAAATTTTAATATTTAATTTAAAATTGATTTTTCTATTGGCTCATGTATCTAAATAGTTCAAAAAACATAACCTATAAAGTATTATTACATAAAAACCAATTAAAAATATAAAAGAAACATCAATAGTTAGAGTGAATTAAATGATTGCTATTACTAAATAACTTTAATCTTAGTAATTTTATAAAATATCATTTTTAAACGAAAATTTAATTTTCAGCTTCACAATTAAAATATTATTGCAAATTAATCTCTTAAAAAAGCAATTATTTCAAATTTTAGCAGCTTAAGAAGAACCATCACCACTAGGTACTTTGTTTACTTTAGGACTGGTAAGATTATATTCGTAAGCGAAATAAGTAAACTTAATAAAGATAGAAAATCCAATATGTATCAAAATAGCTAACATAAGTAATCCAGAGCGCATACCAGCTGATTCCGATCTTTTAAACACAGGGTAGATATTTACTGCTAAAAAATACCCAGAATATACAGAAAAGGCAATCACAGTAAGCCATCTTACCCAAGGATAATTGATACCGCAAAGGATCTAAAATGAGGTTATTAAATCTTAATAAATTGTTCATGTTAAAACAACTTACAGCAGCCGGGACCCAAATTATCATAGAATAACCATACACTGTAATGAGGTCCAAAAGTACAGGTCTAGCATTGAAATAATTGGCGGTAAAATAGAACAAAGTAGGTATTAAAAAGGTATAAAAATAAACTGAAAATAGAGAAGTCCAAATCATATTAAAGTCATACACAAAATCAATTTCTAAAAAAAAGGCACCAATACTTGTCATCAAAGAAGACACTGCAAACATTGTACAAGCTACTAAGGTTGAGATCCAAAAAGGTCCATATAAATCCGGTTTTATGGATATGTTTTCTAAAAATCTATCTCCCCCTGTCTTTATTAAAAACACTTGTTTAATCCTTTGTATTACTTCTTCAGTATCCACATCAAAATATTGGGCATAAGAATCAATTGAAAGCCATTTATTAGTAGCAGAAGTTCCACTTTGTGGTACGGAGTCCGGATTAAAGCCAGAGTTGAAATCTAAGTCTTAATAAAGTCATTTTAATTAAAGATTATAAGGCTTACTTCGATTATATTGTTGATCAGTAACTGTTGAATTTCCTGGAATCGCATTTTCTTGTGATAAAGCTGAAAAGTCTTGAAACTCTAATTCTGGGGCATCCATAAGGTCCTTAATTGTGTAAAGTTATGTTTAAAATATACTTTTCATAGTCCAAATAACTACTTACATCGTCTACCTCAACTACTGCTGAATATTCTCCCTTTGAACCCATAATTTTTTTCCTTATTTCTTTGATATAAAATCTAAAAATTATCTTTTTGATAATAATCAAGTTTTGATTTTACCAATAAACTTCAAATACCAAGAAATTGATGACACATAAGCTTTTAGGTTTATAAATTTATATAAATTTTTTAGATTAAACTCGTTATGGCAACCTGGCCGAGTGGTCCAAGGCGTTGCGTTCAGGTCGCAATCTACATTCGTAGGCGCAGGTTCGAACCCTGCGGTTGTCAATTTTTTATCTTTGAGAATTGGTTTTGGAACATCTATTTATAATACTATTCCTGAATGATTCTTATAATATTGCTTTTAATAAATAGATCCTTTTATGTATAAATAGCTCTTATTTTAAAATAATTTTACAAAGTACACACATTATTAATATTATTATAGTCCCACTAGATAAAAAGAAAATGGTTAAAAATCAAAAATTATTTTATTTGATATTAATTATTTAGGTAATATCTGATAAAAAATAAATCAAACTTGATAAAATTAAACAGGATTATTTACTGATTTAAAAAGACGACATATAGCTAAGGAAGCAATAAAATAAGCAAGGTGAATCAATTGAGGTAATTAGTTAGATATTAAGGTAGTAATCATTGGTAATTTTTTTTTTGAAATATTCTTTTAAAACAGCTTACGCTGTGAACTTAAAGAATAGTACATTTCTTTTTACTTTTCATCTTCTTTTTGTTTTTATCATTTCCACTGCTATCCCTTTTCTTTTGACAAATTAATCGAAGAATTTGATCATATACTTCATCTACATTAACTCGAGTTTTACTACTGGTTTCAAAGTATTCACATCCCCAATCTGAAGCTTTGGCCTCTGCTTCTTCTCTTGTTACTGTACGTGAGTCAACTAAATCACTTTTATTACCAACCAAGATGATCGGGACCTGTTCTATTTAATCATTTATTAAAATGAATAAAACTACTTATTTACCTTTGGATCTTCTGATACTCTCAATATTTGATCTCTAAATTCATCTGTATGTTGGAACGACTCATACTCAACTAATGAAAATAAGCATAAAAACCCTTCTCCACTGCGATAATAATTATCTCTTATCTATTAATAAAGATAAAAGTATAAAATAGAATAAAACCTAAAATGCAAATAAAATATAAAATAAAACTTACTGCTGCGTACTCTTCTTGGCCTGCGGTATCAAGGATATCAATTTGACAATCTTTACCATCAAGGGTAATTTTCTTACGATAAGAGTCTGCTTTCGTTGGGTCATACTCTTCAACAAAATCAGAATACATATACTGTAATGTTAGTGCTGACTTTCCTACACCCCCTGAGCCCACCATAATCACCTTATGTATTGGTACGTTTTGTTTTCCCTTTTTTGAAGACATAAGGCTAAATTTGATTTAAATAAAACTTGATATTATTTATAATCAAAAATTACCTTATAAATAATAATTGAGATATAAATAATTATAATTAAAGAGGGGGAATTATTTAAAAATATTTCAGTTTTAAAAAAGTTGTTTTAAATAAAACGCTTGGGATTTTTCAAGATTTAAAAATAGTAGTCGCCTTTTTAGAAAATGATCCTGTATGATTGTATTGAATCTGTAAATTGAATCTAAATAGCCAAATCTGCGCTAATTAATTGGTAAATTATCTAAGATAGCTAATCAAAACACTTTAATCTCAATTTTTAAGAGGTGATACTAATTCCAGTGCAATCTTTTTGATTGGCTATTTAAATACAACATGTGATAGTTATTATGATTTCGGCTATCAATATTTAAATTTTAGTTACATCATGTTTAAACTTAACCAAACAGTTCCTATTGATAGAGGGCTATCCAAGAATCTTCCTAATTTAAGATAAATCAATTAAAAATGATCAATGTGAAGGAAGTCCTTTATTTAAAATTTAATCGTAGAACGAAAGGTATAAAAGGGCCACCTGTTTATGTTTTAAAATAACTGTACATTAATAAAAGTTCTCACACTTAGCACTATTTCTATTAGCAAGTAAAAACTTCACGGGCTTCAAAAAAGTTCTATTTAATGGCTTTAGGGTCATTGTTGCGATCAGAATTTTATCAGGCAAGCATGATGAGTATATTACATTATATGTTATGCGTCTACCTTGATAACCTTTCGTGTTCACTTCAAGCTTTTATATTTGCATACCTAAATAATAATATTGGTTTTTTTAAGTATATTTATTAGTATTAAACTTGTATTAGCTTGTAAAATATACTAATAGAACAAACTATTACATATCAAACTTAAATAGTCAGGTATAGATGTAGTTATATCCCATTACAAATACAAAAAAATACATAAGTTTAAGCTATACTGTCATTTCATTAATTTTAAAATTTTATTAAATACATTAAATAAATACTTCAGAATATTATAGATAACCATACATCTTGTTCCATTATTTCTACATTAAAGAGCATAAACTCTTAAGCGTATTTATGAAATATTTATAGGAAAGAGTCCATCAGTATGGAAAGATGAATAGGAAGAGTTAGTCATGCTTTTTTCAATCTTTTATATTACATCCAATCTAATCTTAAAAATCTAATTTAGTAAAATTATACAATACTGAGGCTTTTATAAAAAACAAACTCATCAATTAAATTGAACTCTTATTCACCTTACTAAAAAGTGATCAATGTTTAAGTGACAAGCTAAAATATACTGAAGCATTTGGAAGTTTCTAAAAGAAAATTAAGATTTCTCAATAAAGTAGATTTTAAAAATCGATTATTTGAACAATAACAATAATATGGGGGTGTCTTTTTTTGACTTCATTATTTTTTCCATTTTTTAAGCACTATTTAAGCGGAAAAATTGTTAGTAAAATTCTTGAACACAAAAATACATCCCCATCATTAGTCAATTCAACTTAAAAAATTAAATAAAACATCACATTGGTATTTACTTTTATATAGTATAAAAAATAGTCAAAATATTAATGAGAATATGGGAGTGTTTTTTTTGGCTTCGTTGCTTTTTTCATTTTTTAAGCGCTATTTAAGTGGAAAATTTATTACCAAATTTCTTAAACACAAAAATACATCCCCATATGTATTTTTTCATATTTTTTTATCATTACTTTTGTGAAATCTGGTACTCAGGGTTTGGAGTCAAGAACAGCTATTGCTGGGTTGACTACACTATAAGTCGAAAGGTCTTAGTTTATGTGACTAAGATAGACTTG